TCTTCAAGCCTTCACAGACCCCGTGAGGATACTGCGCCCCACCCCCAGAGGTCTGTGGACAACAGGTTGAGAACCACTGATGTAAATTATATAGTGTTATCTTATATAGGTTATATAGGTTATAAATAGCTAGTGCTAGAAAAGTTCACTCAACCTTTGTTTCCACCTTGGTTTTTTTTTTATCCCGACACAATGCTATCAGACTGCAACATACAATTCTAACAATCTCAAGAAAAAAGTAAAATGCTCTGGTTATGAGTAGCTTATATAAACATTTTACTTGTTCGTAAGTCTCCCGTCAAATGTGAATACCATCTTAATCATTTAACTAAAAAAGTGGGTGGAGGTGGCCTTTGAATTGCACCTACTCTTACTTCTTGACATTAAGACTCCTTATCTTGAGCCTAGTTTTTTTCACACATCTCTACTGATCTCTTTTCAGTTCAGTACTTTTCTTCTTTCCTCTCTTTAATTACCAAATCTTTCTCCCCTATTCTATGTTAGGCATCTTCTACATTGTTTAATACAAGCCATCTTTTATTCTGCTTTCAAGTCCTTAATCTTTCTATCTCCCTGTATGATATTTACCTCCAGCAAATCAACCTATTTGCTTTCGCATGAAAGTTGATCTGTATTTTCAGAAGCTTTAATGTCTGGATTATCTAACGACACCTCACATAAGTAAACGTCAATGGGGCCTTTTGTACTTCTAACGTGTACTTCTATGCAGTCCTGAAAAATACCAATATGATTTAAAGATAAAAAAGCAAATTACAGTATGACAAATATTTTAATAGATGAAGGGTGCATAGATTTCATTGTATTTCAAAACTTAAACTATGCCAGAATATTCACAGGAAAAAGTTCTAATTCCCCAGAATGTAACAAGAATTTTCAAGTAAGCAGTTCAGGAAAGGTCCCAAATATCTTACGCTGTTGATTTATGTATCACTTTGAACTCTGAAACTAGCAATGGGTATGTATGCGTCTCCCAGTCTCTTCATAAGCTTCTCATTAAGGGGTTTTGCTTAAGATCAGTGGGACAAAATCATGTTCATTTCAAATCATTACAGTTTGACCCTAGTGAAACCAGCTCAAATACCTCTGAAACTTCAGAATGAGGTATTCTAGAGTGAGAAACCAAAAATGTGTGTAATTTCATTTCCATGTAGAAGAATCTACCAGCCTAAGCTGTACTTGAATTTTACACTGGTATGTTAATTAAGGGACGAGGTGGCTCAGTGGCTAAGACACTAAGCTTGTCTATCAGAAAGTTTGGCAGTTCGGTAGTTTGAATCCCTAGCACCACATAACAGAGTGAGCTCCCGTTACTTGTCCCAGCTTCTGTCAACCTAGCAATTCTAAAACATGTAAAAATGCAAGTAGAAAAATAGGGACCACTTTGGTAGGAAGGTAACAGCGTTCTGTGCACCCGCCACATGACCACAGAGACATCTTTGGACAGTGCTGGCTCTTCAGCTTTGTAATGGAGATGAGCACCGCCCCCTAGAGCGGGAAACGACTAGCACGTATGTCGAGGGGAACCTTTATCTATGTTAATTTACAAGCATATAGGACGAATCTCCTTCTGTGACATTTAAAATAAAAATGAAAACTTCACTGTTAGTCTTTGTAGGCAGATCTTTTGTACAGCTATCCATCCAATCAAATATCAGTCATTTCAAATCAAGTCAAGAAGCACCTACTTCTTTAGGAGGGGGAACTTCCATCCTGGTTCCTTCTGGAGCCTTAATTGCAATAATAATCTGTTCCTGAAATGTCTGAATATTATGGATATCTTGATAGGTCACGTAAGCTAATGTATGCAACTGTTAAGAAATATTAACAGCAGTAGTAGAAAGTATGGTTTACTTTTAGTATACAAAGTATGATTATTAAAATATTATAATTACACAAAAAACTAACATTGTTCAATTCCAGCAACTCTGAATATTGGTCAATGTTAATGTAAAAGGATATTTTGCATTTTCTTTATTATCTGTTAAGTCAAACAACTGATGAGCGCAATCTTTGATTAATTCATCCAACGCTTCTTCCATTGTTGTCAAATCACAGAGTTCATCTCTTAACTTCTGCTGCTCCGGTGTTCGTTTAGTAATATGTTTAATATCTGAACCCCTAAGATAATTTAAAAATATATATAGAAGGTTTAAGCTTAAAGATATGGGTAGCATTGCATCATTATATCAATACCAAAATCATATTTAATAAGAGCATAAAAATATCGATATACTACTAAAACTCCTGTGTCTGCAACCTTGAACTTGGCAAAATGGTATATCAAAACTTTACCAACAAAGATACCTCAAATGGGCTAACTTATAGAATTCTGGGGCTCTTTACTCCTGAGGAAATGAAATCTGGGAAAGCTGGGGCTGCTTTAGTGCTGCCAGGCAGCTGGAGGTCACATAATCCTCATTTTCAACATTCTGTGACACTCCCTTGGTCCCTTCCCCAATCAGCAGAACCTACATAGGTGGCTTCTGGGAAAAGAAATAGGAAAAGGAGGGAGGAACAATGAGGAATGGACCCCACACCCCCTTCCTGGCCCCGACTGTCCTCCCAATCACCTTTCCCAACCCATGCAGCAACTCTTGCACATCCCTGCAACCCCCCAGGCACCTTCTTGACTTATGGCTTCCCCTTGCGCACTTTCCCTGACTTGCACAGCACCTCTCATGCGCCCCCCCCCATCATTCCCGATCCTCATCCCTGTGCATCCCCTCACTTCTCACCCACTTATCTGTCTGTTGGCCTTGGCCTTGAAACTTCCTGGCGGCTTCCCCACTTTCTCACTGCAAAATTCTCAAAAGTAAATGAGGAAGCAAGCAGAAATTCCAAGGAGAGAGGGAAAAAGGAAAGGAAGAAAACAATAGCAGGGAAGGAAAGAAGTGAGTGAGGAAAAGAAAGGAGGAGGGAGGGAAGTTTCCAGTGCTTCATGCCAACTTGAAACTTTTCACAAGGAAATCCAATGGAAAAAGTAGCAAGAAGTTGGTAGTTATTCCTGCTCCACTGCTTTTTGCCTTCTCTTGGTCATTTTGCTGTTTAGGTAACAAAAATATCTCTGAAACGATGACCCAACAGGGCACAGGTTGTCTAAACCTCTAAAATCAGGTATCACTTAGTCCCACACATTTCGTGGGACTAAGATACATACTAATAGTCTATTCCTCTGCATAGGGGTGGGATTCAAATTTTTTAACTGGTTCTGTGGGTGTGGCTTGGTTGGTGGGTGTGGCTTGGTGGTCATGTGACTGGATAGACATGGCTTGGTGGTCATGTTATTGGCTGGGCGTGGCCAACTCAACATCACTCACATCGAGGCATGCATCTCCTCGCCTGGCCTCTCTCTCGTGACTGTGGGGAGGCTGCAACAGTCGTAAGGGTGAAAAATGGTCATATGTCACTTTTTTCAATGGCTACTCCACACAAGCAAAGTACTAGCAAAGGAGGGGGGAAAAAAAACTCCAGAGAAGTTCCTGAGACAGGAAGTCTAGTCCTGTCAAGAATGTAATAAGGGTTAACGGAGAGGCAGTTTCTGTAAGCAACACCAGAATGTTTCCTTCCTGCCTTCCTTACAGGATTAGGCCAGTAATTTCTTCTAACAACCGGTTCTCTGAACTGCTTAGAATGTTAACAACCAGTTCTAGCAAATAGGTGCGAACTGGTAGAATCCCACCCCTGCCTCTGCAGACTTAAGTAGTGTAAACTCATTGACTTCCTTTTTTAGATTAGGTTGTATAAGTTGTATACATACTGTAAGTTATGTATCTATTGTATTGTGTACATTTTTACACAATACAAAATCTTTACAAGTCTTACATTAATAATATTTATATATAAGAAGCTCTGCATCATTACTGGAGATTCTTTGCACTTGAGATTGTATTGCAGTAAGAGCTGAAGCAAGGAAGTTTCTCTGTCTCAATAGCTTAATACTCATTTTACAGTTTTATAATGCTTAGAACATAGACCAAACTCAAATATTTACATGTGTAATTGTAGAAATCCTTAAGTCAATCCTGCATCCTTTTATCCATAGCAGAGGTAGCGAACAAGGCTATTAATTTAAAATAATGAATTTGTGTCCAAGAAGCCTTCCAACTTGTATCACACTCTTTGATAATTAATAGTTTGAAATAATGTGTTTTTGCAACATCGTATTTAAATATCCAGGATCTCAAGTACAAAAGTTAGGAGGGAAAAGAGTCAACTTACACCCATTGGATATGATTCTTGGACCTTTTCTGAACAAGATGTATTCCATCCAACACATTTGTAATATCATATACTCTTCGTTTCCGTACTCCTAGCAAACGAGATACTTCATTCAAATCCAGGACTCCTTCTGGAGCAGCTTTGACAAGATCCATGAATCTTCTGGTCAGCTGAACCAGAGATCCATCATAACGGGGCTTTCTGCCTTTCATTGATTCTGCATAGGTTTAAATAAAAGTACAGATTAACCCATTGTAACAGGGTTATAACATGGAAAACTTCTCACATTTGTACCAAGGTTAGATTTGAGCTAATCACCCTAGCTAACAGGCACCAGTTCAACAATGAAACATATTTGCATTGCCTTTAAAAAGTTCATTCCTTAACAAGTGCTGTTTACTGACATTCCTGATCCAGTATTACCATAGTATGACATCATGACTTGTCATCCCTAAATGAGATGGCCAAATTCACCTGTTTTTGCCTCTGATAACCTGCATTTACTGCTGATTGGACACCGTGATGGACTTTTTGCATAAAAGAAAAAAATAAACGTATGATTTATGATTTTGATTATTAGATAGGGTAGAGTCATGAGATAACTTTAAAGAGATACATTTATAATTGTACTTATAACTGCTATAAAGAAGATTGGAAACCACTTCTTTATATCTTTTTTCTTTTCTATTTTTCCTTTCGCTTTTCTTGCTTGCTTCAAGTTTTAGCTTTCTTTGATTTTTTTCCCCTTCCTTATTATAATTACTTTGCATTAGTTGTTACCTTTGTTTTTAAAACTTTATACATACATACATGTGTCAGTACAAAATGTTAATGAGGAAATTAAAAAAATTAACTTTTGTAAAGGCTCCACCATTGTTTTATGGCTAGCAGAAACCAACTGTACTTCACCTTCATTTTCAATTTTTGTACTGGCCCATGGAGTGTTTAAGAGCAAAAAAGAATGATGCAGTGTGTAAATTCAGTCAACACTGCTGATCTTGTGATTGTCTGGCTATGTGAATAATCTTACAGTAAATGCGATATGTTTGGTAGATAAGACAGATTTTAAAGAAAAACAGCACATTTTCCCTTGACATAATTCTATTAGCTCAAAATAGATTTTCCAACATCCCTTCAAAAGACTATATTACAACGTCCCCCAAAAGATTACCACTCCCATTCATGCATTTTGTTTCTACTTCCTAACTGAAGAACTTCCAGAAAGATATAATACAAGCAATACACTGTTGCTTTGTACACTGCCCAAAGTCATGTTCAGTAAGATGAGCAACCATATAAATGTATTATTTTTTAAAAAAGGCATTGGTTTGCAGATCTCAGACTAACCTCAGCACAAAATGCTGACCTCTTCATGACAACTCAGTAAAAATCTCATATCTCATATTGTTACAGATTTAAATGGAAATTAAAAACAAATCAGCCATAATTCATTCAATTAATTAAAAGGCTCCATAATAGCATTACAATAGTTACGATTGCACTGAAGAAAATTACTCAGCACCAGTCCTTGGACTTACAACTAATGCAGCATCTCTGCAGTCACAAAATTCAGGACTCTGGCAGACAGTACAGGTAGTCCTTGACCCCAAACCACAACTGAGCCTAAGACTTATATGGCTAAGCGAAACATTTGTTCAGTTAGTTTTGCCCCTTTTACGACCTTGCTTGCCATAGTTGTTAAGTGAACCATTACAGTTGTTAAGTTAGTAAACAGAGTGGTTAAAAGAATCTGGCTTTCCCATTGACTCTGATTTGGAAGGTTGGCAAAAGGGGATCGTCAAGTCCCAATTGGTGACCATCATCAAAATGCTGCAAGGGTTGTAAGTGTGAAACACGATTGTTAAGTCACTCTTTTCAGTGCCGTTGTAACTTTGAACGGTCCCTAAACGAACCGTTAAGTCAAGGACTACCTGTGCTGTAGCAACACGCCCAGCGTTTTTGGACCTCTAAGCAACTAAGCCTAATAACGCAAAGCGAAATTCCTCACGCGTTTTACACCCGTTATCTTTCTGAGGCCGACCGCCAAGGGCGAGATCCCTATCCCACCCGGCCCGAGGAGGACTCCCAAGACCCGCAGCCTACGACGAACCTCGAAGCGAACTGGGGAACCCCCAGAAAACGCGAACGGGGTTCAGACGTCAGCCCGAGCCCGGGAACTCCCCCCGCCCGGTCCTAATCTCATTCTCAAGGCTCCTTTAAGAGAAGCCGAAGGAGCCGCCTTCCTCCAGCCCTTCCTCTTTTCCCCCTTCTCCGATCCTCCCCACGGAGGGGGAACTCTATTCTTCAGCCCCGACACCACCGCCTGCTGGGCTCCCCCAACAACTCGCCGGCTTGGCAACCACCCAGCCCGGCCAAGCCGGTCCATCTCCGTCCTTTCTCCTATCCGCGAAAGGCGAGACAGAGGCCTTCGGAAACCCCGCGGGCTGCTTTAGCCCACCCGTTGCCTCACTCACTGGCAGCAAATCCAAGGAAGCCGACGGGAGCCGCAGCTGCCGCTCCTACTCTCGGCCCGAGCTCCGGCCCAACGCCAGGGCGGCCATTTTGGCCCAGCCTCTCCCTCAGCAGAGGCCGGGTAGACAAAAATACGCCCCTGGCCTTTCTCCGCCTCAGTTGGGAAGTGTGGGGGGAGGAGGGAGAGAGATAGCAAAGCGCCGCCCGCTTCTCCTCCGCCTTCTCCGGGGAGTCGCCCCGGCTGCCGCTTTATTGCGCCTTCCTTTGCGGGATCCCGAGCGGGAGTTTTAACCCCGGAGCGGAGCTTCCGTCTGTTCAGGGTAAAGCGGGAGGAACTGAAGGCGCCTCTTCCGACCTTGGTCTTCGGTTCAGGAGGCGTCGAAGAGCCGCTCAGGGTGACCCGCGATGAGCGGAAGGGTCCGGCTCGGATCCGGGGACTCCCGCCTCACCTGTGGGACTCTCCAAGTTAGGGTTTTCAAGTTTTCTTCAGGGAGGACTGCTTATAGAATTGAACTGAATTGCCTTCTTTATTGGCCAAGTGTGATTGGACACACAAGGAATTTGTCTTGGTGCAAATGCTCTGAGTGTACATAAAAGAAAAGAAACATTCATCAAGGAGTCAAGAATCATAAGGCACAACACTTAATAACAGTCATAGGGTACAATAAAACCATACTAGGAAACAGGATACAAGCGACAAAGTTACAGTCATACAGTCACAGGTGAGAGGGGATGGGTAATAAGGAGTGATGAGAAGATTAGTAGTGCAGACTTTGTAAATAGTTGAACAGTGTTGAGGGAATTATTTGTTTAGCAGAGTGATGGCTTTCGTGGGGGGGAAAAAACTGTCCTTGTGTCTCGTTGTTCTGGCGTGCAGTGCTCTATAGGGTCATTTTGAGGGAAGGAGTTGAAATAGTTCATGTCTGGGATGTGAGGGGTCTGTAAATATTTTCACAGCCCTCTTTTTGACTCCTGCAGTGTACAGGTCCTCGATTGAAGGCGGGTGGGTAGTAATTGTTTTTTCTGCAGTCCTAATTATCCTCTGAAGTCTGTGTCTGTCCTGTTGGGTCGCAGAACCAAACCAGACAGTTATAGAGGTGCAGATTGTAATTCCTCTGTAGAACTGAATCAGCAGCTTCTTGGGCTTTCCTTATTATGCTTTAAAATTCCTTTTGTTTGTTTTGACTTTTTTTAAAAAAAGAAATACTTTAAATATGTACGTGCAAATTTTTTTTTCTCTCTTTGCTTCGCTTCCATGTCTTAACGAGTAATAAATGAGACAGCCTTTTTGACAACAAATTATGTTTTGAAATGAACTTATTTGTTATTGGGGACGCTGACGCACAGCTATGTGGGTTTTTTTTTAACATTTGGATGAAGAACATGGACTTGGAAACAAAATATTTATGAATAAAGGAATGAATGTTTGCGGCTCAGGGTTGAAATGAGGGGTCCTTCGTGCTCTCTTAAGCTTGGTTGTTTTCTTGCTAACGTTTCATTACCCTAACTAGGTAAGTGCTCACCTCCTTCCTCACTGAGGAGAGTGAAGATATATTCTTTTTTTTTTAATTATGTGGCTAGCATGACTGTATAGGATAAGCACATGGAGCCCCGTTACCTTCCCATCAAAGTGGGATTTACTATTGATTTACTCACATTTTCATGTTATCAAACTGCTCGGTTGGCAGAAGCAGGGGCAAGTAATGGATGCTCAAACCATTGCAGGGCACTCAGCTCTTGAACCTTGTCAAAGATGTCACAGCTTAGTTCCCCCCCCTCCAAAAAAAAAATCCTTGGCCCCATTTGTTGAGAAAGGTATAGTTTTATTAGAGGTCAAGCGTAAAGCAGTAGTACAAAGTCAGGACTAAAAGTCGCTCCCTAAAATGGCTTAAGTTCTATTCCCCCTGCCCCTCCCCCACCTGCCTCTGGCTGCCCATCAATCAAGTTCCTGCAAGATATTTGCATAACGGTCATTCTGAGCCCAGGTTGCTATGCGGTCCCTCCTTTTCCCAGCTGGGTGACCTTGGAGTGGGGTTTTTGAGGGGGCTACTTTTGTTTTCTCTTAAGCAGCCCCTTCCCTTCATCCCCCCTCCTCACAGGTCATGGCAGACTGTCACTACATCATAGTGGGCATAAGGTGGCAGCTGACAAGCCTTTTATATTGTTGTTATTTTCTTTTCCAATTCAGTTAACAATAACTTTTAAAAAAAATAGTTCAGGCTATCGTAGGTCATCAAAAATTCCCTAATTTGGTATGGGTTGAGTAGCATTTGTATGGTGAGGTCTCAACACAATATCAGATGCCGTCCCTCAAACGAGCTAATAGGACCCAGATTGTTGGGGGCAAAATGCTGACTCTGTAAACTGCTTAGAGAGGGCTGTAAAAGCACTGCGAAACGGTATACAGGTGCTGTTAAAAAACACAAATCCAGATTATTACATGAACCCACCCTGTGTAATTAAGATTTGGTATGTTGTATGAATTAAAGAATGGTATCATCATGACTCAGTTTATCATATGAATATAGCTTGTAATACGGACACCAAAATGTTTTCACTAAATACATATTTGATACAAAATGTATGCTATATATTTATAAATGTCCATTTTAAGTAGGGAGAATAGACCGTTGGGTCAATTGAAAGCCCCACTGATAACAATGACCATATTTACAAAGTGCTGAACTATGTATTTGTCATGGTCTGTTGCACACATGCTGCAACCCCGCCCCAATGACTGCCAGTATCAGGAGGCAGCACCAGCCATGACCTGACATAGCAACATTTGAGTGTATCACAGAGGTCCCTAGTAAAACATGGCAGAAACTTGGGGTGAAGTTGAGAGACCAGCAGTGTCTCCCTCGATGGACCTGTGATAACAAAGGCTAGCAGGCACCTGAGGATTATATTTGTTAGGCCTGAGAAATTTTGTGCATGCAACTGCACATGACAGACTTCTCTGATATTTTTTGAAAGAAAGCAGACTGATCCCCACTGGGCTACTGGTAGCAGTCCATGCGGCTGCTTGACTTCAGGGATGTCATGCGGTTATGCATCATGACCCATGACACAGTTATTCACTGATCCACAACATTGAAAGAGGACATGTATTGTCCCTTTTTGAGACTATCCCATTTATACCTTGGCAGGGTTTATAAATGAGAGGAATTATTTTGTAGCGTTCTTTTCCTAAAGGAAACCCTTTTTTATAGGAGAACAGAGTTTCAAATTAGTAGCATTTATGGATAAGTCCATAGTTGACAAACATCCAATTAGAAAACAATACCCTAATCCTGGAACTGCCAAAAATAAAACTGCAACTCCATCAACATTGGCAAAGTAAGCTGCTGTACATAAACAGGGAGTTAAACCCCATTCCCTTCTAGCAGTGGAGATGTTATCTAGTCGGTAAGGAACCATCTGCAAGCAAAAAACCAACTTCAGAGTTCAACTTCAAAGTTGAACTTTGCAGCTCAACTTTGAGCTATGTACATTGTATATTGTCATTTACTGGCATCATGCCTAAGCATAACCAGACTTCATGTTCTGGAGCTACTCAAAGCGAACAACAAAAACAAGCAAAAACTGAAAAGAAACAAAAAAATGGGATTCAGGCTTACAATATATTGTAATGAGTTCAGAAAAGAATGTAGTGGAAAGGGAAAAGGAAAGCAAAATGTCGTAACTTGTGTGGTATTTCAAGTGACATTAAAAGTTATTTATTTAATTAACTTATTTAACAAATTTATACATCTGCCTATCTCACCCAAAGTGACACTAGACAGTGCACACTAGATTAAAAAAACCAAGGATATAAAAATAGCAAATACAGATAAAAGACCATAATAATAAATATACTAAAGAACTGGAAATCCCATAGTTGAAGGAAATAAAAATGTCCCCCCACCTCAATAATGGGACCCCAGTGTCAAGCCGAAGCCCAAAAAGGACACAGTGAAATCCAATTAGTTCAGACTTTTATTTGCTATACCTAATGGATAGAATCCTGCCAAATTCGAGCTGTAATCTTCTAACTACTAGACAATCTAATGTACCCTGAGAGAATCGTGTGACTACCCTACCCTGAACCTGTTTCATGTTCCCCCCACAGCTCTGGGCTGTACAAACTCTTGATCCGGGTCTCTTTCTGGGAGAACTGTGCTGCCCAAACTCTTCCCTCATTGTTCTTTCAAGTGTACATTCCAACATACTCTAGTCACCTAACCCATTCTTAAGGGCTTTTTCGAAAATCAAAAGGGATGGGGATGACCATCTGGGATGGGGACCAATTCTGGAAAGAATATTCTGTAAAGAAGATGTGTCCTGAGATCCACCAAATGTAGATCTGTAGCCATCTTGAAGTTCTTTCAAGAGAAATGGGCAAGTACTATATGGTGGAACAAAAGTTTACCTTTTTCTCTCTTTGTGTTTTTCCATAAAAATACATAAAAGGAGCGGATCGAATAAATCAGATCCATGCAAGAAAAGGTGCTGGCAGAAAAAGATCTTGCCATAAGAGCTGTAAGTCATTCATTTCTTTTACAATGCTGTTTTGTATGCATATTTATATTATATGACTGATGTTTGCTTCTTGTAATTTCTGTGTCTTAGTTGGAAGAGGAGAACAACTATTTAGCCAGTGAAATGTCTCACCTTATGAGGGAGAATAAAGAGCTGCAGAACAAAAAGAAAGACAATCCAGAAAGTGAGTATTATTTTTTCATTCTAAAAAGAAAAGTTATTTATTTCAACTCAACTTTGACTGTACACGTTCTAGTTCTTTTGTTACTTTTTTTGCCAGGAGATGCTGACAGAGATGAGGAAAGGGAGTATGAGGAACTAAGAAGAAAATATGAAAAGTACCAGAAAGTCATTAGCAGAGTGAAGACTGTAACTATCCTACATGATAGTAAGAAAGTAGAACCACCTTTGTAAGGGAGAGTTTATAATGCATTGAAAGTTAATTTTGATTGTATTTCATCAATTTCTTTTTACAAGAGGTCTCAAAAGAAAACGAGGGGGAAAAAAGAAATGGTAAAAGCTTGGGAGCAGACAATTGATGACGTCTGCTCCCAACTCGTATCTCTACCCATCCAGAGAAGACCAAGACAGTAACATTTGTCCTTCCCTTTCTTGGAGAGAAATAGACAACTTTCAACTGATGGCTTTCCACTTTGTTCTAAAATATTTGCTTAACACTTTTCAGTCTCTGCTAGAGAACAGTCAGAAGAGAAACCTGATTGCATACAAAAGGTAAATGATAAGAATTTTTCAGACATTACCTATTTTTATTCTGTAGAAAAGTTATCATGCAACATTTGGCAGTAAAAATATAATCAGTTTTGCAAAACAGTGTTTAGTCTTTTGCAGTATCTAGTTGTCAATATTGCAGTAATCTTGGCACCAAGATTTTCATATGCCAAGTGTTTAATATTTGCTGCTATTAAAACAAGTGGACTAAAGTATGAGGCCCAATATTTCTTTGCCATTTTAAAATGGATTGATTTCAGCAGTCAAAATGAGAAGCCCTAATATTCTACCTGCTCAGTTTTACTGAGAAACTGCACCAGCTTAAATTATTGTCTCTTTCAACTTAGCTAGTTTTCATTGGATCAAAATGTTGTTTGATATATAATTTAATGTGCTAGTTGCTGTTTACATTGAAATGCTTACATTTTTTTCAAAATAGGAAGACCTGGTTTCTCTTCAAATACAGTCCTCAAATACAGGATTGTACTAACGTGATTGTATTCTAACCTACTTTTTTATCTATTTCAGTGAATTCAACGACATCTGTACTTCTTTTGGGGACTCCCTCTGCTTATGGCTTAATCCAACCAGGGACAGCCAGAACAGGCTGGATTGCTCTGGCTAAGCAATACAGTCAGGTGGCATCACTTTTTACGCCTCTTCACTTAATGACCACAGTGGCAATTGGTCCAAATTTGATACCACTTGAAGTTGTAACATGATGACTAACTTTATTGTGAAAATTCTCCTTTACCACAAAATACGCTCCTGAAGAAGTTGCTTTTGGCAGAAGCTCTATACTACTTTCCATTGCTTTTCAAGTTGCATATCCATTCCTTAATCTAAGAATAATTAAGATGCAGGAATACAGCTCTGTGTCCCAAATTTTAATCAGCGACCCTTTAACCACGATGCATACAAAACACTGGTTGGTAGATGGGTGGCTACAGAAATTGAATGATTTCTTGAATGAATGAACTGGGCCCAAATAATTTTTTCAGACATGTAAGTCATTTTGCATACTTGTAAAAATTGGGGTGGGCATATGACCTACTTAACAAATGCCCTGACTTACCTCTGTAGTTCTGGGGTCAGTTAAAGTCATAAATGGAGGACTCCCTGTATTATAATAAATGTCAACATAATGCAAAGGTTTTATAGCCTTATTTCCTGCACTTGTTTTCTTGTCCAAAACATTTCCTCTCCATACGTTGAACACGAAGTAAAATAAATTTTAAAATAAAATAAATTATTTCATTCTTATTGAAGAAATATATTCAAACAGCTATCTTTTGAAAGAGCAGGAAAGGTAACCTAATGTTGAATTTACTTTTATGCAAAAGAGGCCACTTACAGGCGTGAAATGGTTTACAGCAACTACTACACAACTCATGAGCCCTACATAAGACAAACCTACACCACTTTTATAAAATCTCATTTAAGCTTGACTTGAATACCGGTAGCGCTTTCTCTCTCTCCCTCCCTCCCTCTCACGCTCTCTCCCTCCCTCGCTCTCCCTCCCTCTCTTTCTCTCTCTCTCTCTTTCTGTGTGTAACTGACACAAATATTTTCATTTATTCTTTACTTTTGTGTCACTGGAAATGCTGGAGAGAAGAAGCAAGTTCTCAGGACAAGAGTCCATGATTCCATTCTCTTTTCTCCTAAACCTAAGAGGAACGCCTGTTGACGTAGCTATTTGCATCACGGGAAATCCATAAAGCTGAAGATCAGAAATCAAATTCTTCACTTTTATGAGCCGTTGTCATGATTCACTGTAAAAGTTAAAATTAAACACATACAATATTAGAGTAGGAACATATATTGAGGAAGCATTTAGCCATAGTAATGCAATAATCTGCAATATATGGATACATATGCTAGTTCCATTCAGGTTAGCAGTGTTATAAAAGTACAGAACAGGGTAAGAGATTGTAAGATAACGGCAGGAGATTAAAAATAAATGAATAAATGGAAACACTGCTTCTGGGATGATGATGATGATGATGATTTGACATCTACAACTCTCATCTGAACCTCACTAAGCAATTGATTCAGTGACCACCTGCAGATACTAAGGTAGTCCTTCCTCTGCCTTGTCACCCACCTAACCTGCACTCCCAATTTGTGTGCAGAGCCAGCCAGCTGAGCTATTTGGCAATCCTCTGCCTGCCTCACTGACAGCCTATGCCCGGTTGTTGCTGAAGCTCCTCTCCCTCTGGGCTCAATGCTTGGCCAGCCTCTCCCTCCAGCAGTGGCCTGGGGGAAAAAGAGCTCCAGGCCTTCCAGCATCGGTCTTTTCTCAGGCCAGGGAAAGGAATCGGAGAGGCCGGAAGGAGCCACACTGGGTACTCTGTGATCAGGAAGAGGCTCTGCTTACAATCTCTGGTCCTGTCTGTTCCCACTTCCCTCTCTCTGAGGGGTTCTTCAAGGTTTCAGAGTGAAGAATGGTTGCTTCTCCACAGTTCAGACTCCACTGCTGGCAACTCTCAGGCACAGCCTTGGAGAAAAGGAACTTTGTCCTCAATCCAAGATGGGCAGACAAGAATTGAAGGATGTTCAGGAATGGAAAAACAGAGGATCTCTATTTGCAGCAGAGGTTGAGCCAGAATTACAGAGGAAGGGCTGCCTTGTGAATCGCATATCACACAGAATGCAAGCGCCAAATATGAGAGTTGTTTAGGAAAAAAAGAGAAAGTCCCAACACAGGGGAACTTGTTCCATTAATAATAACAATTCAAATTATTATTATCATCACCATCATCATATGGTGTTGCTACGGTAGCCAGGAGACCACAATGCTACTGAGGAGGAGTAACTTGTCTTACCAAGGTACCAGCCCTGTTATAGGAAATGCTTGTGCGCTTCCCAAGATCCCTACAGGAGGGCAAGCTGGCTTCGCACCAGAGATGAGCAGCTCTTTCTGCAGCATAACCCAAGGCCCCTTCCCTGAGCTGCCTCACAAAAAGGCACCGCAACCAGGAAAGTCATCCAGAAAATGGGTCATCCAGACCTTCCTCCTGTCAACATTTTTTTTTATTGGATTGTAAAGTATTATGAAATACAAAACACAAAACAAATAGACAGCATGGGACCTTCTGTGTATAAGAGGGAAAAGCCGAGTTGATCTGAAAACTGTGGGCTGAAGTTTTCCCCTTTTTTCTTTCTTTTTGCTTGTGCCTGACTGAGCCAAAGTGAGCCCCACATCTGAGAGGGAATATGGGAAGCAGCAGTTCAAAGGAGACAATTAGGACTCTCCTAGGAGATTTGCTTGAGGCATGGGACGACCAGCAGGTGCCTGTCCTAGCCTGAATGAAAAAACAAAGAGCAAGAGAGAGATGCAAGAAATGGGCTTTGCTGAGTTGGCCCCTCTGTCTTCCTGGGACTACTTTACTTAATGGGGAAGGGCATGATTCTCACACCAGGAAGACAGATTTGGCCAGAATGCAGTACTTTTGACTTCCATAATGTTAGGAATATAAGTCACCTAACAGGTATTTGGGTTAGAAATATATAAACCAGGATAAACATTTCAAAACTGTTATCTTTAAGAAAATGCAAAACTGTAATTAGGTGTGATTACTCAAACAGCCATAAGATGGAGCCAGAAACCTGGGTTGTTTAGTCTTAGTCTGAGTCTCAGAAGAGAGTGTGAATGGATCTCTGTTTCCTTCTGTTGGAAAGTATTGCCATCGCTCCATTTTTCCTAATTGACACTGAACTTTTTTTTTGACACTGGACTTTGATATTTGGATTATCCCTGGATTGAAAAACTGACTGATTTACCTGTGAATGACTTTGGACTGTGTTTGGACTTTGCTTAAACCTTTCTGGAAGTAAAAACCTACATTTACTGTATAGTGTATCTGTTCTGTGTGTGTATTATTCAAACACTTCTCTCAAATACGTCTCCCTGTATGCGCTCATTCTCCTAACGGGGAATTACTTCAACACATACCATAAAAGCACTTAGATCTAGAATTAAGCCCAGCCAGATACCTTACTGGTATTGCTGGGTGGAATTAGCCAGTTCTAAAGACCACATTAAGGAAAAGGAACAGACTAAGACAGAATACTCACTCATAGAAACTCAGCCTGGGGTGAGAATCATGCCCCCCCATTAAGTAAACTAGTCCCAGGAAGACAGAGGGGCCAACTAGATATACATTAATGTATTACGACAGCTGGAACTGCTGGTACGAATGGATAGAACAAAGATTGATTAAACAATAAAGGGCAAAAGAAAACATCTTATATATATATGTATTCGCACAAGGATTGTTTAGAGGGTATAAAATAAGGTTGAAAATAAGGTCCCACAAACTGTCGAGGACGAGATGATTTTTGATCGTTTTCTGAATTTTCTTTTCCACTTTTCCTTTTTTATTTTTTTTCTCTTTCACATTTATGTATGTGTTGTCTGTTTTAATTGTAAAATTAATAAAGTTTATTTAAAAAAAAAGATATACATGTTACCACATGCACTACTTTCGGCTTTCGACCTTGTTATCTGGAAGCAAGGCACCCAGTTGTTTAGGTCAGACCCCCAAACTGTAATCCGGACCATAAGATCTATAGTGGACACTGGACAGCCATAATCTGTCCTGGGGGGACATGACCCAATTATGACATGTCTTTTTAACAAAAGACGAACTGTTAAACCTGTGTGAAAAAACAGAAATAGCCAGATGCCCTGTCATTGTAGCACTGGGGCAAATAGCCCCAATACCATGTCTGGAGTCAATTGCACTCATATCTCAAAGACTAGACTTGACTAGACTAGACTACTTTATTGGCCAAGTGTGATTGGACACACAACGAATTTGTCTTGGTGTAAATACTCTCAGTATACATAAAGAAAAGACTACTTGGATTATTATGAGCCTCAACATCACACATAGTTTTTATAGCCTTATTTCCTGTACTTATTTTGTAGTAGTGCATTTGCTCTCCACGTATTGAACATGGAGTCCCTGATTCCATTCTCTTTTCTCCTAAACTTCAGACAAACACCTGTTGACGCAGCGATTCACATCTTGAAAAATCCACAAAGTTGAAGCTTAGAAATCAAGTTCTTCCCTTTTGTTAGCCCTCTTCAGATGATTGACTGTAAAAGTTAAATTAAGACACCTACCATTTTAGAGTAGGAACATACGCCAAAGAACATTTTTAGCCATAATAATGCAATCATTGGGAACGCATAGATGCCCATCCTGCTAGTTCCAATCAGGTGAGCAATATTAGAAAAGCACAGAACAGGCTAGGAGATTGTAAGGAAATGCGGGAGATTAAAAATAAAGGAATAAAGTTTTTGCTGCTTTTACGATTTGATTTAGTTCCCCCCGCCACCGCCACCGCTCCAAACAGCCGTCGGAGCGGCCACCAGGAGGCGCCAGGCCATTCCTTCCTCCTCCCCGTCGACAGCCGGAGTTGCTCTCCCAACTCGCCTGGCGTAGCCGAGCCAGCCCATCCTATCCGTGCCAAGACGCCCCTTCCAGGGATCTCCATTCAC